TAAAAAGAGAAAATTAGCACATGACTGGGCGTGCCGTTCTCCCACAATTTAAGGGCTAGTGCCCAGTAGGCTCAAAATTCACAGGTCACCATCTCCAAACCAGTGAAGACCTAACCTAGTACTATGAATGCCCACCCCCCCCCCCCCAAAAAAAAAAAGAAGAAGTAAGAAGTTAAATCTTAATATACAAAAAAATTAGCGAATGACTGGGCGTGCATTTCTCACACAATTTAAGGGACAGTGCCCAATAGGCTCATAATTCACCGTTCACCATCTCCCAAACAGTTAAGACCTAACATAAAATCATGAATACCCCCCCCCCCCCTAAAAAAAAAAGAACAAAAAAAAAAGAAGAAAGAAGTAAAATTTTAAATAAAAGAAAATTAGCACATGACTGGGCGTGCCGTTCTCCCACAATTTAAGGGACAGTGCCCAGTAGGCTCATAATTCACAGGTTACCATACCCCAGCCAGTGAAGACCTAACCTAGTACCATAAATATCCCCCCCCCCCAAAGAAAAAAAGAAAGTAAAATCTTAAAATAAAAGAAAATTAGCACATGACTGGGCGTGCCGTTCTCCGACAATTTAAGGGCTAGTGCCCAGTAGGCTCATAATTCACAGGTCACCATCTCCAAGCCAGTGAAGGTCTAACCTAGTACAATGAATGCCCCCCCACCCCCCCCCCCCCAAAAAGAAAGAAGTAAAATCTTAAATAAAAGAAAATTAGCACATGACTGGGCGTGCCGTTCTCCCACAATTTAAGGGACAGTGCCCAGTTGGGTCATAATTCACAGGTTACCATATTCCAGTCAGTGAAGACCCAACCTAGTACCATGAATATTCCCCCCCCCCCAAAAAAAAAAGAAGAAGAAAGAAGTAAAATCTTTAAAAAAAGAGAGAAAATTAGCACATGACTGGGCGTGCCGTTCTCCCACAATTTAAGGGCTAGTGCCCAGTAGGCTCATAATTCACAGGTCACCATCTCCCAGCCAGTGAAGACCTAACCTAGTACAACAAATCCCCCCCCCCCCCCCAAAAAAAAGAAGAAAGTAAAATCTTCAAATAAAAGAAAATTAGCACATGACTGGGCGTGCCGTTCTCCCACAATTTAAGGGCTAGTGCCCAGTAGGCTCATAATTCACAGGTCACCATCTCCCAGCCAGTGAAGACCTAACCTAGTACAACGAATACCCCCCCCCCCCAAAAAAAAAAAGAAGTGAGAAGTAAAACCTTAATATACAAGAAAATTAGCGAATGACTGGGCGTGCAGTTCTCACACAATTTAAGGGACAGTGCCCAATAGGCTCATAATTCACAGTTCACTATCTCCCAGACAGTGAAGACCTAACAGAAAATCATGAATACCCCCCCCCCCTCCCCCCCCAAAAAAAAAGAAAAAAAAAGAAAAAAAGAAGAAGTAAAATCTTAAAATAAAAGAAAATTAGCACATGACTGGGCGTGCCGTTCTCCCACAATTTAAGGGCTAGTGCCCAGTAGGCTCATAATTCACAGGTCACCATCTCCCAGCCAGTGAAGACCTAACCTAGTACAACGAATACCCCCCCCCCCCCCCAAAAAAAAAAAAAAAAAAAAAAAGTAAAATCTTAAAATAAAAGAAAAATAGCACATGACTGGGCGTGCCGTTCTCCGACAATTTAAGGGCTAGTGCCCAGTAGGCTCATAATTCACAGGTCACCATCTCCCAACCAGTGAAGACCTAACCTAGTACAATGAATGTCCACCCCCCCCCAAAAAAAAAAGAAGAAGTAAGAAGTAAAATCTTAATATACAAGAAAATTAGCGAATGACTGGGCGTGCATTTCTCACACAATTTAAGGGACAGTGCCCAATAGGCTCATAATTCACCGTTCACTATCTCCCAGACAGTTAAGACCTAACATAAAATCATGAATACCTCCCCCCCCCCCCCCGTCAAAAAAAAAAGAAAAAAAAGAAGAAAAAAAGAAAGTAAAATCTTAAAATAAAAGAAAATTAGCACATGACTGGGCGTGCCGTTCTCCCACAATTTAAGGGACAGTGCCCAGTAGGCTCATAATTCACAGGTCACCATCTCCCAGCCAGTGAAGGTCTAACCTAGTACAATGAATGCCCCCCCCCCCCCCACCCCCTAAAAAAAATGTAAATTAAAATAAAAGAAAAATAGCACCTAAACGGGGGAGCCTTCCACCTGCAACTTAAGGGACAGTGCCCCCGTATCATTCACAGGTCACCATCTCTCAGCCAGTAATTACATACACCTAACAACATGAATAACCTAAAGAGATTCAATGTCTCAAATTTAAAGAAAAATAGCAACTGACTGGGCGTGCCTTTTACCTACAATTTAAGGGACAGTGCACCGGAGGCTCATCATTCACAAGGTCACAATCTTCTCCCAGCCATTAATGTCCTAACCTAACACTATGAATACTCCAAAAAAAAATACAATTGAATGTCTTAAAATGAAAGAAAACTATAGGACCTGACTAGGCGTGCTGTTCACCTACGTAGTGTTCCCATCCCCTCTGTTTCATGGTACAGTATTCGAATAACTAAATCTAGATTTAAAAATAAATTAATGTAAAGAAAAATAAGGGAGGAATCACATTTCCTGCTTTTAATGCGATATGCAATATTATTCCACTAGCTATTCAACATTTAAATCAGATGTACAGTATTCCAGGAACAAAGAATGTTAAATCATAAATATATATATATATATACAGAGAGAGAGAGAAATACAGACATAGGAGGAGGGGGGGGGTAAGGGGAGAAGGCAAATAAAAGTATTGCTTTGAATTTTATGTATCCTATTCAAACAAGCAAATGTAGATTTGATAAGTCATAATCATATATAGTGAGCGAGAAAGTGGGAGAAATTGTGAGAGATAGAAAGAGAGGGAGAGAGAGAGGAACAGAGGATTGGTCTTGACTTAGAGCTGATATACATAAAGAAGAAAAATAAAGACCAAGACATAAACAAATAAAAATAAATAGAAAGATAAAATGATACAGAAAGAGGAAAGAATGATACAAAATAACATGAACTGTCTGTATTCGAACAGGTCTTTTCAGAACTACACTCTTCAATCTTTACTCTTCACTCTTTAACCTTCGTGATCTCCTCACAACCTTCTCAATCTTGATTTTGTTTTTGTCTCAATTTTACGGAATGACCCTTAAAGATTCAATATTGTTAGAGGATGAAGGAGCTATTAGAAAATTCTACAATACCGAGGACCATCCCTGCTGCAATGGAGAGACGGGTAAATCAAAGAGAGCATTGGACAAGATAAACAGCTGTTAAAAAATACTGAGAATTGTTGGATAATAACAATAGACTAAAAGAGGGAATCACAACTTTCGTAGATGCTATATACAGTGCAATACTAATTTGTCTATTTTTATTTTAAAAAAAGAGTTATAGAGGGAGGGGGATGTATCAATAGGAGATGGGAGGGAGTTTGTATATTCACACATGCAAGTGAGAATTTGATAGGTCATTTTGAAAAGGATAGGGTGTATTTGAAGGTATTTTTGTCACAAATCTGAAGTAGGGCCTACTGTATTAAATAATTTAATTTATTTAGTGGAGAATTGAGAAGAAAATCAGAAAAAAATTATAATATATTTGAAGACATGTAAAAGGAGTCCTAACCTACTAGACGAACAACAAAAACAACCCACAATAAAAGCAATTGTATAAGATTGAAGAGACAAACTGTAAAGATTAGCGGAGAAGGAAAAAGGATAAAAATATTACATTTCACAGAGAGTATAACCAATCCTATTAGAGACCACACATGGGATTTACTGGGGCCGTATACCTGAAAAAAGTGAACACGATATATTTTGTGTCCGATGTCATGCTACTACATGTACGTATTATGGTAACTTTGAATAATATACTAAAATCAACAAATTAAAATACTGTCTCATACTCAACTATAAATGGACAACTATTTTACCCCAGCCACACATAAAGGTGTGAGGTGACTTAGATTAAGTGATTTCATTTTTCTTCAAATTGTAAGATGTCGGGAATAAGCACCCCTTTAAAAGATAGGATTGAGAACAATCCGCGACAAAAAGAGTAACAGAATGGGATTTGTTATAAGTGAGTAGAACCTATTTATGCATAAATTGGATATAATGTATAAGAAATTTGAATCAAGTATATGCACTTAGAAGCTGAGATTTAACTTATTTGTTTCAATGGACTAGAAAACTTTTATGATCAATAATGCTTAATGATTAAAGTTGAAACTTCGCATTTCTAACCCTTTTTATAAAAAGAATGTATTCTATTCAATTGAATCATTTTTTTTTCCATTTTATATTTTTGTTTTTAATTTTACTTATCTTTTTTAATTTGATATTTTTTAATAGTATTTAATTTTATTAGTTTGAAACCATTTTCGTATAAGATCATTAGTTGTTGGAATCTTCTTTTCTAATTCTTTTGTGCATTTTCTGATATTCCACATGAAAGTACAATCTTTCCACAAGTACCGGTACACATCCTATAACAAGCCAGTTTGTAATTGCAGTCTAAATTTTTTTTTGGTTTTAAAAAATGTGGAAACAAATACTGGATACATGCTCATGTTCAAATATTCATTTTTATTTCATGCACCATTGATATTTCATGATACACAGGTAAAGTTGTCTCTAAATGGAGATAAAAGACATTCACGTGACCCCTCCACTTTAAGGATCATGTTGGGTCTCTTCATGTTCAGATATTCAGTGGATATTTCGTGCTAATTACGAACTGGGTAATTGGACAACTCCTGCCAAGTGTAGCTCTTACAACAAGATACAATTTGAAACATCAGTACAACTGCTTTTATGAGAGGGATGATTGCAAAACCCAATAACTAAGACTTACAAAAGAAGACAACTTCTGAATCCTTTGTTAAAACAATATAATGTATATTTCAAAAAGATTTTCGACCAAATATGCACAAGTTCTCAACTTGGTAACCAACGTGTCAAACTCATAGATATACATGACTCCCATTAGGAGGTATGGGGGTAAACAGATCTGGTGAATAGGAACATATTGTCACAAGGTAGACATTGAAATACCTGCATACCTACGACGTGTGTGCGCGTCCCACGGTGAGGCCTGATCTGTTGAATAAAGAGGTAAACAGAATGCTTTATTAGGCATCTCAAAGGAAATATGATGGGGCAGATACAATCTTTAAACTCAAAGACAAATTATGACATTTTGTTAGGTAAAGTATATAGCAAGTATATACATTCATTTCAAAATAGATTTATTTCCAAGTATCTTGAACAAATATTAAACTGTTTTTCAACTTTCGGCCCTACATTTACTAATTATAAAATAGAGGAAACATAGCAGTTACATACTCTCCAAAATGATGAGGACATATGCAAACAGAAGCACCATGTACTGCTATAATGTTATAAAGAACTAATTACTATTTCAAACATACACTGTATGAAGCCTAATAATGAACAGTACACATACCTTCTTGGAAATAATTTACAGGCGGTCAAAGAAAGAGAATGGCCTCCGGCGTCTACCCCGACTGACCACACCCAGTCTTTCTTGACCACGATAGTGCAGCGGGCCTGGTTTGAGTGACCATGCACTACCCGTCTCGGCTTCCTCCCTACTACTCCTATAGCAAGGCGTTTACGTCCCGAGAACCTCAGCAGTGTTCGACCCAGTATCCCCCCTCGGTCTCCCCCCTGCTGCTTCTGCGAATCAGTCTGTAGGAAAGAACAAAGTGAGTTTTTAAAAAAAATCATTCATACTAAAAGTGGAAGTCCACCTTGATATCAAGTTGGTTGTAATGAAACCATAAAAATTAGATTGATATTAAACAAAGTAGTGCAATATTAAATTAAAAACATGAAAGTTATGAATGTGTTAAGCTGTCATCATGTAAGCTCCTCTCCTACTTGCTCTGTACAGATTTTTTTTTTTAATTCTCTTAGTTATTGATGACGGAATAGAAACGTTTCATACAGGGGTTGTATGAAACCAAACTTGCAATGATTATACTTAGGGTTAATATATGATTGAAACATTTCTTAGGTGAAAATATACGTTTTTAAGATTTTTGGGGGGAAAGGACACCGGGAGGCGGGCTCACGTCACGTGAAACGTCAGAATCGCCAATTGTGTTTGATTGCTTGCTCCCATAATAACTTTCTTATTTTCAATCGGTTTAATATGCTCAAACTTTCACTGGCCTGTTTCTCTCATTTATCTGCTTCTATTAAAACCAACTTAATATCAGGGAGTACATACATCCCCTTTAATTTCATTATGAGCCAGATGTTTGGTTTCATACTTCTTTTTAACGTACTTAACAACAGAATATGCATTCAGTTTAATTCATTTTCAGAACCCCCTATATATAAGTGGCAAATAAAATGTTGCTGTTAAGGCCCTTTAGGGATCGATGATAAAAGAAACATTGAAACTACCTCGGCTCACTTTGTTTCAACTAAAAATAAACAGTTGCTGCTATGTTGGTAAAGTTTGGGCAGATTCGCAAGTCTTCAAATTTGAGATCTTTTGTTTAGGTACATAATTATATTTTGAATACATTGTATGCTCGTCTATTTTTTGGGGGAGGGGGGGGGGGTATTGTTATAATTATAAAAATAGGCGAGCGAAGAAATAAAGTAATTTTACTTACCCAGGCTATTATCACACATTGCCTCGCCTCGCGGCAATCCGGGCCGACCTCCGCAGGTTCTGGTTTGCCCGATTGGCGGCACGACGTTGCTCCCTCTCTGCGGCGAGCTGAACAGCGGCAGCGGCGATCTCTCGCTCTACCAGACGCGGTGACCTTCGTCTCGGGTGGAGTTGCTCACGCTCCTCCGCCCTCCTACGCTGTTCATCCTGCTGTTGGCGATTAGCAGAAACGACCTCCGCACGGCCGTTCTCGCGATGCAACTTGTTGACTGTATAAACCAAGCAAAATATAAATGTTAGGATGTATTTCATGGTATTTCACAGATGACATTAAAATACACGATTCTCCATTGATATTTGTTATATAGATCTACCCCCCCCCCCTAAAAAAAGGCCAAATGGTGGCCCAACTCCTTAACCTGTCACAGTACAAAGCGTACACTTTGAATGATCCATCATCTTACATACTTAGAAGTTATAGCTATAGGGGCAGTGTAATTAGTCTCAAAATATTTTCGTCATGAATCAATATTCACGATTCTATACATACTATTTTTAACCAGTAAAGGTCTATAGTCCACAAGACTGCCTTTTAAACAAATGAGAAGTAACAGTAATGTTGAGAGGTTTACTTTGAATAAATACATACCGTGTTGCGTGCAGTAGAGTTCAACGGCGTTTTCGTCTAGCGTGTGACGTCCACGCCGGCTGCAACGTCTGCCATTCCCATGAAGCCCAGTATGTGCAGAGCACTGGACCTCGGCTGGCTGTCTGTAATACAGGAAACATAAAACAAGGACAAATTACTTCTAGATTGCCAATAATAATAGATTGCAAATAATTATAAAGTGCACATGTTACAATTTTTAAACACTTTTGATTAGGTAAATTGGCAAAGGATGACTCTAAAGAAACCTACGTCAACTCACTTAGGGGTCATTATACTTCTTGAATGTATAATCAACTATGGTTGGTAAATTGGGTTTTAATTTAGGAGATTATTGTGTACTTACTGACGGTGTTGCCAGCACTCTCCTTCAATTCCTAAGGCTAGGGGAACCTTCCTCAAACAACGCGTACCCTTCTGGGTATACTCCACACAGTTATCGTTGTACCGGCCAGCAATCATTATGACACTAAGCAATACGACGACGACGAATTCAATTACGAAGCAAAAACTAAGTAAAAATCTCCAAGCGACTTGTCTAGGACAGAATCTAGCAGAGACAGGCAGATTTTTAGCTCTTCATCTTACACGAAACCTAAAATTTGATTTGCGCGGGCGGTTTCTTTGAATGCATCACGTGGTTTGAGCAGACGAACGAATCACATTCACCCAAGACAAAGGCATTTAATAATGGCAACGGGTTCCAAAAACGTACTGGTGATAATGACATTTTCCATCGGAGCTTTGACCCCACTTTGCATAATGTATGCAAGAGTCGCGTGGCGGGAAGGTTGAATAAGAGTAGGGCGTTGGTCATTGACTGCTATCTATAAACGAGGCAGTGCGGACCACCCGATTTTAAAAATTCTAAAAGAATTGTTCCTTCTTTACAGATTCTTTAGGAAAGTTGAATTTCATGCTTATGTTCTGCATGACTAGATGGTGCCAGGGCTTCGCAACCTTGCCTTAACAGGAGATGTGTGACAATTGCCTTAGTTTGCTTACAAGTTTGGCTCGACAGGTAGAGTTGTTCAATAGATTATGCTTAAAAGGTTGGCTTGACAGGTGTAAGAACGCACATTGACGAAAAGAGGTGTTCTTTTCATATGCATAAGTTTGCATACGTAAGTATTTTGAGAAGGTATATATCCCCGGCCCCCCCCCCACTCAGTGTTATTTAGGGTACGCCTATGCGTGTTCCAACCGACCCCCCCCCCCCCCCCCTTTTCAGCAAAAGTCCGGTGTGTAAAGTCAATACGGATCGACCTTTTTCTTTTGTATACGAGCCTTTTTCAGCACCCCCCCCCCCCCCCCCCACCTTTCAGAAAAAGTCCGGAGTGTAAAGTCAATACGGGTCGACCTTTTTCTTTTGTTACGAAAAGCATGGGGTCCGTCCAATCTCGGAGTTGGGGGGGGGGGGGACGGGTATATATCAAATTTCATTATCCAAGATAACCTGTGTGTATTGTTACTTGGTGCCAGTAAACGAGACGTCTGCAGCCGTCCTAGAGGCTGTTCACACCGCTATGAGATAGCGCGGTCTATCGTAGCACCCCCTTTTTTCTAGCGCGCGCTAGGCCGCGCTCTCTCTCGTGGACCACCCCAAGAGGTGGTCCAGTGGCACGCCGTTTTGGCTCGCCGTGGCTCGCTGTTGGGCGGACCAAAACGACGTTGTACCTCCCACACCGCAGAGATAGCGCGGTCTAGCGCGCGCTATCTCTGCCGGTGTGAACAGCCTCAGAGATGAGCGGTGCTCCCCTAAGTGTTTGGAAAGTAATTTTAATTTTCTTCAGCAGGTGGGTGAAAGCGCGATGGAAAATAATTTATTTTCGTTTGAACAGCGTGAATTAGAAAATAACTGTCATGCTATTGAGCCCACCGTGCTAAAAATATATTGTCATGCTAATATAATGTTGGAATTCCAGCGAACCTCGTACTTTCTATCGTCTGATTTGTAGAGGAATTGCTTGAAGCTATCGTCTTCAGCTGTTGATTTATAAGGCTATGCATGTACTGGACATACTATTGTGCTCCTGAATAGGTGATCAGTAAAGTGTGCCCCGTATGGCGTGAGCGTCTTTCTTTCATTTTGATGGACACGCAACAATAAACCTGCAAACAAAATTGGTGTCAGAGGCAGGCACGTAGCCACGGGGGAAGGGGGGGGGCGTCCCCCCAAAAAAATTCCAAGAACGGTTGAACCTTTTTTAGACCCCTTTTTGGACCTCGATCGATTACATGTATGTGCCCCCCCCCCCCCCCCCCCCCCAACATCAAACTCTGGCTACGTGCCTGGTCAGAGGAGACAGTTAGAAGAAGAAGAAGACGAAGAAGAAAGTGAGCAAAGTGTGGAAATATTTCTTTTTTGATATCACTAAAATCGTCAAACAATCAGACCGCATAATAGACTTACATGTATTTCCCCTATTTCGTCAATTTGTACAATCTGTTGAATTGGAATGTTGTATTGATTTGCCATGAGACAAACACAGATTTACCCTTCTATAATCACCCAAACATCACATCACTTGTGTATTCTACCCAGTCCGGATTCTACCAATAGACCAATTTGTAAGTCATGTTACGAGTTTAATGACCCCAATTTCCAACAGATTTTGGAGATGGCGCTTTTTGCATTTGAGAATAATCGCTGCTAATGTGATAGCGGTGCGTTACGATTCCCCCTTTTGAAAATAATACTTTCACTTGTGTAGGTACCATGCATGTCATGGAATTCACTTTGATTACGTAATTTCCATGACCTCTATCTGTTGTAGATCGTAGGCTATCATCGAAATAACTGCATACAAACATACAAAACAAGCCCCGCGAAACGTTTTAAAAGTGTGGCGAGGGGGGGGGGGGGGGGGGCTAAAGTATTTACGATCAGGTAAGTTCAAGTTCATTTTATTCAAAACCACACAAAACATGATATGATCTTTTACCTAAAAAAGAGACTGGTAATAGTACATTAATCATCATATATTAACTTGATCACATCATAAAATGAATGGTTTTAGTACCCCTTTAGAAGTTAAGCTTGTGAGCGGGGCCCTATATAGTCAACAAAATACATACATTAACAATAAGGTGAGCAAATAGAATGTAACGTAACTGTATATACAAGGGATGAAAATACTAAGCTATAAAATGTAGAAAACACACACACGCACGCACACACACACAAACACACGCACACCGCACAGTTAACCTTTATTATACTCGCACACTGTTCGACAAATAAATTATCGCCCATATCATCGAGTGAACAGTCAAAACCAACGTAAGGAAGCTGTGAAAGTCAGTGGCGAACAATCGAGAATAAAATAGAACAAAATTAAACACTGAAATGACTGACTCAATACTTGAGCCAGAGAAAAGGAAGCAGCACCATCTAATCACCATTGTTAAATGAATTGAAAAACAGTATATAGCCAGGCGGAAATAATCTTTCAGATTGGACAGACATAAAACTCATTTCTATAAATTGATTAGCTGTATAATTCCGGTATAATTGTAAACATGTGTCCATTTTGTGTGTGTTCTTGGTATATAATCTGTATGACTGTATTTGATACTTTCATAAAATGTGTTTTTTATGGATTCGAATTGAAATACAACTTGAAACTTGAAACAACAAAAATATAATTCACTCTAATGCAAAATTATGTCCCCAAGCAGACAAGTATTAACTGTAACTGCACCAGAAAAGAGGAAGGAGAGGTGGGAAAGGGAGGAAAATGTGCGTTGACGGGAGTGAGGGAGGGGGGGTCCAGACCTGCCGCCCCCGCTTTATTTAGTTTAATATATAATGAGCGATCGCTCCAATCACTCGGCAGGAATATCAAGAATCGTAATACTATACCATCTGCTTCATTTTGTTCTAAATCTATATCTTAAAGTTTCTTTTAAAGACATGTTAATTATGCGTAAATGACTATGCAAAATATAACATTCAAAATCAAACTATATAGCCCGAATTCACAAAGGAGGTTTGTCGGCAAAGGAGGTTTATGTGCGTCAAATGACGCGATTCGACGCGTTTCAGACCAAGGTTTGTCTGAACATTGGTCTGAAACGCATCGAAACACGTCATATAACGCACATAAACCTAGGTTTGTCGGCAAACCTCTTTTGTGAATTCGAGCCAATATAGCGGAAAGGAAATTTAAGTGTACGAACACGCTCTTAAACGTTCAAGCAACTCCTGCGGGATCTAGGAACACAAAAAGAAATCATATAAAAGTGGTCATGGATATGTTAATGGTGTAAATTTTCACTCAAAATTGTATGTCATTCAAACAAGCAAGCAAATAACATAACAAAAACAAAAAAAAATAATAATAATCAGTGGCGGATTCATGGGGCACAGGGGGCACATGCCCCCCCCCCCCGGTTAAAAAATAAAAAGGGGGAAAGGGGAAAAGAAAAAGGGAGAAAAGGAGAAAAAGAAGGAAAGAAGAGAGGAGAGAAAAGGGGAGAGGAGAGAAAAGGGGAGAGAGAAAAAGGAGAGGGGAATGAAGAAAGGGAAAGAGAGAGGAGAGAAAACGCGGAAAAGTAAGAAAGGGGGAAAGACGGAGGAGAGAAAAGGGGGAAAGGGAGAATAATGAGAAGGGAAAAGAAAGAAAGGGGGATGAATATAAGAAGGTGTTTTTACCAGGAAAGGGGCGGGGGCACGTAATTTTACAGTGTGCATAATATGGGGTCCCTCTTGCCAGGCGTGTAGCAAACATATTAGATCAAACAAACGATCAAACAAGGAATAAGATAATGTGCACCTCCATTGACCGACTCACAACTGCAGAATATCATTCATGAATTAAAAAGGTAAGTTTTCAGCAAGGACTTAAACTGGTCAAGAGAAGACACAAATCCTAACTTGGGTTTAAGCACAATCGCATTATGAAAGACCGAAAATACCTTGTAAGAAAGTTACAAAAAAATACATTAACTATCTAGCTAGCATAGCGAGCGTGCTTTGGGGGAAATTCGAAAGGAAAGTTGCTCGTATATAGGCGCTTGAAATGAAGGGCACATGTTATGGAGTAAGGAAAAGGGGGCACTTATATCAGAAGGGAAAATAACACTTATAAGAAAATAAAAGGAGCGCGTGTCGCTGAGTAAAAAGATACACTTCTTGTTTATCAAAAGGGGCACTTATGAAAATAGAAAAGGCCCTTATTACAAAGGAAATGGGGCTATTGTCGAAGGAAGAGGGACATCTATTAGATTTTAACAGGGGCATATAGGTGAGAAGGGGCATTAATGAGAAGAGGAAGGGGCTCTTAAAAGAAAAAGGTCACTTAGTAGAAAGGGAAAAGGGCAATTAGATATCTTCGAAGGCCAAAAGCAGATATATATTGCTATGAATTTATGCGAGACCTTCTTATCTTTTCAAGTTCACTTTTATGGTATTCTATGTCTTTAAATCTCATATGAGCCGCATTTGATTTCAAAGTCATACTAGGGAATTATAACCTTTCTTAAAGGTATATGTCCCGTTTGCAGTCAACATCAAATTCTGTAGAACTTTGCAGGATTATGATTATGTCACGTAT